AGTCACTCACGTCAATGGGTGCTTCGCCTTAGTTGTTACAATGGTCAGAAGGGTTAACTGGAGAGGTAGTTTCTGTAAGCAGGACAATAAAGATTAGATAAGAAACAACACCAGAATGTTTCCTTCCTGCCTTCCTTACAGGATTAGCCCTGTAAAAATGGAAAAAACCCAAAAGGAGATTTCTTCCAACAACCGGTTCTCCAAACTGCTTAGAAAGTTAACAACCGGTTCTCCCAAATAGGTGCGAACTGGCTGAATCCCACCACTGACTGGGTGCCAATACTCACCCCATTTTGGGCACTCTCTGTGCTACTGGCTTCATCCTCTTCCGCGCAGCCGCTGGAATGGCTGCCTGGCGGAGAGTCATTTTCAGAAGAAACAGAGTCCCCTTCAGCACTGCTCTGGGCTGGAAAACCCTCGCAATCCGGTGAACGGCTGCATTTCTGCTCATCCAGTTGCCCCTTTTCCAAGGCTGCCGGATAAGGGAACAGCTCTGCTTGGTTGAACAGGCCCATAGCTTTAGGGTTGAGCGCTCAATAGCGCATGGTCTCTGGATTAGCCCTGCAATTATGAAGCATAGAGGCAGTTCCATCATAAATACAAGAAGAATTTGACCAAATGGGAGTAAAAAAAAAGAAAACTGAGGAAGCTTCCCCCCTAATTCTTAGGTAGTCCTTGACTTACGACCACAATTGAGCTCAAACCTTTCTGCTGCTTAAATGAGACAGCTAGGTGAATTTTGCCCTGTTTTACGACCTTTCTAGAAGGGTTGTTAAGTGAATCGTTGCATTTGTTAAACTAGTAATTTGGTGGTTAAGTTTCCTGTTGACTTTGCTGGCCACAAAGTCCCAAAAAGTGATCACATGACACACAAACACACCCCACCACCCAAAGAACACTGCAACCGTCATAAATACGTGACAGTTGCCAAGCATTGGAATTTTGATCCTGTGACTGTGGGAATGCTGAAACGATCATCAGTGTGAAAAAAACTTTCTCCGGCGCCATTGTAACTTCGAACTAAGCTCACAAAATGTATGGTCGTAAGTTGAGGACTATCTGCATACTGGAGGTATCACGGTCATAGGTAGCAAAAGACGGAGTTGCTGCTGGAATACTTTTAATTCTAGCCTTTTCTTATTTAATTATGGCGTCTCTGCCTTCTTGCAAAAGAAATTTCCCTCGGGCTAAGAACAAGCAGCTGGTATGTTGGCAGACTACAAATCCCATGTTGGAGGCCAGGCCAGTTGGGTTCTTAAAAACTGTACTTCAGCAATATCTGGAATATGATAGATTTCCCACCAATGGTCTAGTCCAGGGCTCGGCAACCTTAAACACTCAAAGAGCCACAAAGGTCCTAAACCGGAAGCCCCCTCCCACCTTCTATTCTGGAGCCAACCAGAAGTCCGGTTTCTCCCGCCAAAGTGTCTCCTCCTAGTCTGGCATCTCTTTTCCTCTACCTGTCCTAATAGAAAGCCCTATGAATTGTGGAACTGACCGGGGATAGGGAGCCACAGCAGAGGGATGAAAGAGCCACATGCGGCTCCAGAGCCCTGGTCCAATCTTTTGAGTAAGTCCGTAAATCAACTGCTAGCCAATAACACAGCTAGACTTTGACTTACCACCACAATTGAGCCCCACGTTTTCCGTTGCTAAGCAAGATAATTGCTAAGTAAGAGTTTTGTTCCGTTTTTACGACCTTTCTTGCTACAGTTACTAAGTGAATCGCTGCAGTTGTGAAGTTAGTAACGCCGCGGTTAAATGAATCTGGCTTCCCCGGGGACTCTGCATGTTAGAAGTTTGCAAAAGGGGATCGCATGACCCGGGGGATATGGCAAGCGTCATAAACAGGAGTCAGTTCACCAAGCATCTCAATTTTGATCATGGGACCATGGGGATGCTGCAATGGACGTAAGTGTGAAAAACGGTCATAAGNGCAGGCCTGGGGTTGATGAGTTCCCCTCCCCTCTCGACTTGTATGGTTGCGTGATTCTTGCTTATTTTAATTATCTGTATTCTGTTCTATGTTCCCCCTTTTCCCCTTTTTGAATTGTTCGACGCCCTGAGTGCTTCCCGGAGAAGGGCGGCATACAAATAATAAAATTCAATTCAATTCAATCCAAAACGGGCTCGTGTGGAGACTCCCATGAGGGGAAGGGTGGGCAGAGCCAGTCAGGGGTGGGATTTGGAGGTTCTCCGAATTGGCCATAACGTTAGCTACGGGTTCTCTCCCGAACCTGGGCAAATCCGTAGCAGCCCACTCATGCTTTTAGCAGTATGGATATAGCTTATCATAGTTTACATGTTCACATGATGATTCAGGATTACTAATCTTTATATTCTGTTCAGGGTTGGACAATGACGGTCAGCTTTTTTAAAATGATATTTTAATATCCCCTTACCACCACCGTGGGGCCCAGCAAAGGTCACTGTTAAGGGAATGGTGCCCAATTTCATGACCTTTTTGACACCCTTGTTAAGCGAACCACTGCAGGTAAGTGAATTACATGGTTGTTAAATGAATCTGGCTTTTCTTATGGACTTTTCTTATTAGAAGCCAGCTGGGAAAGTTGCAAATAGCGGTCACACGACCTGGGACACAGGAATCGTCATAAATTTATGGGGGGTTTCCAAGCGTCCCAATTTTCATCATGTGACGACACTGCAAACACGCAAAATGTCTGTTTGTTTGTTTATTGGATTTATATGCCATCCTTCACCCAAAGGACTCAGGGAGGTGTACAACATTTAAAAAATCACATATTACAAAAGTTAAAAAGGAAATTAGATAGAGTATCCAAAAACAAACCCAATTAATATTAACAAAACAGATAAAAATTAACGATGTGAGGGCTGGTAGTGAGTCACTCTTTTCGTGCATTGCAATTTCAAATAGTCACTATACAAATGATTGTAAGTCAAGGACCCCCTATAATAGAGGTATTCACAATCAATGAATGATGTGCTGAAAACTTATTAATTTCAACGTTCATAAATCTTTGTGTTTTTTTTTTTCATTCTTCCTTCTCCTCTTGTATTTCTTTTCCCCCCTAAAGTATTAGGTAAAAATGCATTTTTAAAAAGAATCGGGCATTGCACATACGTAGCATGAGAAAATACCCTTTTGTTGCGCTTGTGGGCCTGGTTTCCATTAAGAACACTGGTGCTAAAATCTTACTACACTTCTTGGAAACAGCACAACGATTGCAAACGCAATTAAAAGTGCATCACAATTGAGAGACCCAAGGCAATCTTAGACCAGAAAGGATATGTTTTTGATAAAAGAGAAAATCTGTAGTTTGGGGGTGAGCTGTGGGGTCCTTGGTGCTCTCTAAAAGCTTGATGGCTTTTCTGCAGACATTGCATTACCCAGCTAGGTAACATCATCAATGCTAAAAGGGAGTGGAGTTTGCTTTTACCAGCTTCTCGGTGCAGCCATAAGTCTGGATTTGCTCGAAAGGAAACCCCACTCCTTTCTAGTTTAGTTTACTTGATTGTCATTGCACCTCGTGCAACGAAATTAAATGCCATGTTCAGTATACATCATACATAAGAAAACTATAAAAATAAAAACACAAACACACACCCTTCACATGCTATATAATTGAAATTGAAAACCCCTGATATTGCATTAATATTGCACCATACAGTAGAATTCAATATAGTTACTGCCCTGGGATAGAAGCTGTTTTTCAGCCTCTTTCTCCTTGTCTTCATTGTCTTGTACCGTCTACCAGATGGTAATAGTTTAAAAAAAAAAGGGGGGGGGTGCTCAGGATGAGATGGATCTTTAAGAATGTTTTGAACTTTTGAATTTCTAGTGCTGATGATGTTACCTAGTTGGGTCGTGAAAGGTCTGCAAGAAAACTACCAAATTCCGAGAGCACCAAGGATCCCACAAGGTATGTTTTTATTCAAACCACGACAAGAAGAGGAGCATTATACGTGTTACAAGTTGGGCATTAAGAAAAAGAATAATTCTGGACCACAAATATGTTGGCAACTTTATGAGGGGAGGGAAGAAAAGGGGGCAAATTTCAACCATAATTAAAATGTGGTCAGATCTGACTGCAATGGGGTATTGCCGAAATGNGGCATTGTCCTGCTGAAGGCACCCGGAGAAGGTCCATCCTGTGCGATCTTATTGGTCTAAGGGAGGTATGTGGCAGAAGACGGTCTCGCAGATACCCAGGTCCTAGGCCATGTAGAGCTTTAAAGGTGATAACCAGCACCTTGAATCGTGTTCAGAGACCAATGGGGAGCCAGTGCAGCTCACGGAGGATAGGTGTGATGTGGGTGTACCTTGGCACACCCAGTATCCTCAGTATCCCCAGTCCTCCAGGTCATGGTGGTCCCAAAGCTGCTTTTTCAAAAGGCAATTGAATTTTCTGGACATGTTTCTTGGATGAGAAGTGAGACATCATCAAAGGAAGCTCACTTGCCCTTTGGCCCCTTTACAACTTGTGGACTTCAACTCCCAGAATTCCTGAGCCAGCAAGATTCTTGGAGTTGAAGATAGCAAAGAGGCCACAGCTGCCCACCCATCGCTTAGGACAGAGTTCCCCAACCTTTTCAGCTCGGCAGATCGGCAAGGGGGTGGTAGAAATGATGGCTTCATGCTCATATGAGTGGGGGTGCCCCTGTGTGTGTGTGTGCATGCACTCAACCACCTTATCTGCAGTTTTGAAAGGCTCAAGGCAGCTCAGGAGTTGGGGACCCTGCTGTGGTGGCAGACTCAGGCAGTGAGCAGGTTGGGGAGAAACATAGGCCAGTCCTGGAGTCTGGGGAAGGCTGTGACGAGTGCTCTGCGTCGGAGCAGAGAGGGGGGCGAGGGCCATCTGACAGTTATCAGCTGCCTTCAAAGTCGGATATCAGTGGGACAGAAGAACAGCTGGAGCCAGTTCGCAGTGTGGGCATGCCAGGAGAAAGGAGCAGCTAAGGAACAAGGGTCGACTCAGGAGAAAAAGCCACAGGTGGACAGTGAATGGCCCCTCCCATAGGGAATAAAGAGGGGCAAAAGGGGAGTGGAGTTTGCAGGAGGTAATTAGTTCAACGCATTCAGGTGAAGATCTGTTCCTGACTTCTTGCCAAGTATTGTCTGCTACAGAGTGGCGTTTGGAAGATATCGGACCGGCAGCTCTCCAAGCCTGGTAAAAGTCTGTAGTTGTGAAATCTCTTGAAACACTGTTGGCCGGAGAGGAATTCTCTTTAAACCAAATAAAAGGGGTTTTATCAGGAATCGGGAATCGGCTCCATGCTTTTGAGAAGCCTAGGTTTGAGACACCTGCTTAGGATGTCATTCAGTCATCAGATAAAATCCATAGAGGTGGTCATATCTTATTTCAAGCAGCTACACATGGGGTGATGAAGAGCACAACGCTTGGATCAATAGTGATGCTTGGACTTTTGACTTCAGGAGGAGAAAAGATCTCACATTGCCCAAAGATTTCAGCAGGCTGACAATGGTAGTTATTGGCACAGGGCTCCGGGCAATGTGGATTTTGTCAGCCTCACCTGCTTAAGCCAGACGGCACAGTACATGTCACGTTTGAGAGACGATTGCAGAAAAACACATTGGATGCTCCCCAGAAAATTGCAGTTACTAAGCATTGTGCACGCAGATTAAATAAATAAGAATCGTATATGCTGGTATCCAACACACACTAAATAAAAATAAAAATCTGAACCT